GGTGCCGATCGCATCCTAGTGGTCTGTCTGAGGCTCGCCCCCTTCCACAGACGCCGCCCACCCTCTCCCCGCCGCAGCCCCCGCCTCTTCATCAGGCAGGGCGCTGCCCTGAATTAGGTAGGGATCGATCGGTTCGCTAGGAGAGGTAGCTTCGTCCATGTGAGAGGGAATCCACTTAAGGTTCACCTCTGTCGACCGAGACTGGAAAGCCACCCGAATTCGAGACCACAAATCCTGGTTAGCTCCGTTTTTCTGGAACTGCCGACCCCGCCCCCAACCTCTCACGAGGGGCTCGTGGTCAGCCACGAACAGAAAACGCATGGGGACATGTTCTAACGCGATGGCAAACGCGAGCAGCTCAGAACGAGGGACCGTTTGCCGCTGGCCCCCGACTGGAGTCGATAACCCCCACGCCAACCTCCAGCCCCTTTGGCAGTCAGGTTGCATGGCGATCACCGCGGTGCCACACCTACGCCTACGTGGGTCCGCACTGTGGGTCCCCCCCGATCCGTCTCCGAAAACCACTACACACCCGAACGTGGCGTGCGGCTCAACCTCGGAAATCGGGAGCGGCCCCAAGGGCCGAAGATGTTCTTCAGGAAAAACGAGAGATGGGTGTAGCCCTTAGGCGGCACGCCTCTAAGCCACAGCACTGGACAACTTTTCCCACTGCGCCGGAGCCTGCTGCCTAATACACTCGCTCTTCTCGAATCCTTCAAAACCGACATTGCACGGGCACTCCCAGAGTCGGTGAAAGAGAGTCTCTGTGCCCTGGCGGCACCTTGGGCACAACGTGTCAACCTCGTATCCTAGAGCCGCCTGCCTTTCCCGAGTGAACTGTCTGCCCGAGACTGCAGCATTCTGGAGCCCTACCGAGGAGGAGGAGGAGGAGGAGGAGGAGGAGGAGGAGGAGGAGGAGGAGGAAGAGGAGGAGGAGGAGGAGAGGAGAACGAGGAGAAGGAGGAGGAGGAATAATATGAGAATGAGAGGGGGGCGCAGGGGGTATGGGGTGAGGAGTGAATTGGCGGTGGGGAAAGGGGGATGAGGAGATGTAGGATGTTCAGGATGAGGATGAGGAGGAGGAAGAGGAGGAGGATGAGGAGGACGAGGGGAAGGAAGAGGAGGAGGAGGAGGGGGAGGAACGGTAGGAGGTGGAGGAGGAGGACGACTAACCGCCCCCCTAAAATTGCAGAATTAGACTGTTGAAGCCTCGAGAGACCCTCCACCTCATCCCTTCACCTCCACCCTCACCTTCGGAGGAGGAGCAGGAGGAGAACGGAGGAGGAGGAGGAGGAGGAGGAGGAGGAGGAGGAGGAGGAGGAGGAAGGGAGGACAATGAGGCGGAGGACGACGACGAGGAGGATGGCGCCGACGCCGACGCCAACTCCGAGGCCGCCGAGGAGGACGACGACGGCGACGAGGGCGACGGAGGGGCGGCCTCTGCTGGCGGCTCGCCTCCGCGGGATGGCCGTGGCCGGAGGACGACGTGCTGCCGCCGCTGCCCGCAGCCACCCCGCGGGCCGAGAACGAGGGCCTGCGGAGGCCGGCCCCAGCACCGCACACCAGCAGCCGCGCCCGGGTGCCCGTTTTTTTCACTGCGCGCTGGCAAGTCTCGATGATCCTGAGGACGTGTGTTAGCCCAATGTGTGTGCACCCCGTTCAGCCTTAGATCATTACATCGCCTTCGTCGTAGTGAAGGGCCTCAGTGGGCAAACGCACGTTGGCGCTAACACACATTCTGAGGATCATCGAAAGTCTGCCTGTGTGGAGGCGAAGAAGAAACAACGACATAACCAGGAGCTTTCGACGCTCCGCGCGGATCTCTCGGATCTGCGCTCGGCCCTTCCTGGCGGCGCCTCTGGCGCCGCCCATGCCGCCCATGGCGCGCTCCGCGCGCCACTTCGAGTATGAGATCGACTGCAGAGCTGCTGATTTACCACCATGTTGGTGTTCGCCAAGTCTACAAAACAAAAAAGAGCGTAGAATATTGCGTAGATCTCTGGGTTATTTGATTTATGTCCGTAGACTCGACGGAAAGAATCAATTTTTGGGAAGCATCTATGCTGCTGTCGATCTCCTGCTCGAAGACTGGCAAGTTTACTTGCATGGAGGGAGAAGGGGACGGGGAAGCGTGGAGCGGCCCGAAAGGAAATCTGGACTTCACGCAAGCCGGGACACACTTGCACGCTTTTTTCGGCCCAGCGCTGTACGAAAACGCGGCGGAGGCGTTCTCGGGGCGGGGGGGCGGATGCCAAGCAAGTGAACTCGCCTGAAGCTAAAAAGCAACACGCCCTCTGGGCAAGGCCCAGGCCCTGGGGCCCCAGACCTCCGGCGCCGTGCTTGTTTCTTCTGTCGCGCAACCATCCTGTGGAGTTGGGTCCTGGTTCCTCCTCCTCCTCCTCCTTCTCCTCCTCCCCCTCCCTTTCCCCCTCCTCTTCCTCCTCCCCTTCCTCCTCCCGCACCACCCGCGCCTCCTTCCGCCCGCCCGCCTCCCCCCCTTCCGCCGCAGCACATCCTCTGCAGCTCCCCTTCCCATCAGTGCCTCTATACCCCCGAACTTGGACGCCGTGCTTTTGTTACTCTACTCTGTTTTGTGTTCGGCACCGGCGGCTTCTCTTGGAGGTCAACCTCTTGGAGGCCCGACCGACCACAGCACAGCCCGGGATGGAAAAACTGGCACCGGGGGAGGTCCTGGAAGGAAAATTGGCTTTTGGGGAGGGGATCGAGAGCCCCGGCGGCCCACGCGAGGAACGAAACAGGACGTTGATTGTCTGGGCTGGCCATGTAGATCTGCGCTTCTAGGAGGCGAGGAGTGTAGGATTTTGAAAGGAGGGGCACTCCTACATCCCCTGGACGAAAGTTTTTCCTCTTGGGCCCAGAACGATTGTTTGAAGTCTTGAGCAGACGCGTATGAGATAACCGCCGTCGGATCTAATTAAGTTCGCGCGAATCCAATTGTGGTTTTGGATTTTGTTTCGGTGGTTCCGGCTTCCGTCCGCAAGGATCCGTTTTTGGATTTTGGATCCGCGTCCGGTCTTATGTTTTCGGCGGGTCCGACTTCGACCGCGTTTTGAATCCGTTTTATTAGATTTTAACGGGGAGCCGGAAGAAATCGGATCCGCGGTCCCCGGAACCCGCCCGCGTTAAGATTCTACGGGGGAAAGGGGTTCGGCCACCATCTTCCAGTAATTATGGGTCTTGTGCTGTCTCGAACACCCTCGTCAACTTTCCCCGCGCGCGCAGACCCCACTCAACATGAATATATGGTCCAGGGCTTGGGCCCCCCCCCCCAATGCTGATGCCATTGGGCCCCCCCCCCCGCGCGATGGTCCCCCCCGCCCCCCCCTGTGGGCGTGGCGGCGTGGCGTGGTGCTGCGCTGCGGTGCCCCCCCCCCGCCCCCCCTGTGGATGTGGTGTGGTGCTGTGGTGGTGGTGGTTCAGAAGTGGGCGTGGCGTGGTGCTGCGCTGCGGTGCCCCCCTCCCCCCCCCCTGTGGATGTGGTGTGGTGCTGTGGTGGTTCAGAGGTCGTCGTCGTCGTCCTCGTCGTCCTCGTCGTCCTCGTCGTCCGTCGTCGTCGTCGTCGTCGTCGTCATCGTCGTCGTCGCCGTCGTCATCGTCGTCATCGTCGTCGTCGCCGCCGCCGCCGGCGTCGTCGCCGCCGCAGCCGTCGTCGTCGTCGTCGTGGTCGTCGTCGTCGTCGTCGTCGTCGTCGCCGTCGTCGTAGTCGTCGCCGTCGTCGTCGTCGCCGTCGTCGTAGTCGTCGTGGTCGTCGTCGTCGTCGTCGTCGTCGCCGTCGTCGTAGTCGTCGCCGTCGTCGTCGTCGCCGTCGTCGTCGTCGTCGTCGTCGTCGTCGTCGTCTCTGGGACCATACCATCTGGGGGGGGGAGGCCCGAGGAATCTTGGGACCATACCATCTTGGGGGGGGGGGCCCGTGAACCCTCGACCCTGGATCATAAATATATATATATATATATATATATATATATATCCTTCCTCCCTGCTGATACACGCAGCTCGTCCAGACACCGTCCGTTCGGCGGAGCTGATGTTATCCCGCGAACTCATCATCGCCATTGTCACCTCGCAAGGAAGCCTTTCGTCCTGCGTACGTAGTACGCCCGTAAGCCCGCTGTCTTCGAAGACGGGTTCGTTCCCTCCTCGACTACGTTCGCCGCCAGCCTACGCCAGGTTCCGGACGTCTCGGCGCAGAGGCAGCGCGTGCGCGGGCGCTCGGCACTGCAAGCCCCAAACGGTTTCCAGGTGTCGACGACGCCTCGACAGCGTTCAAGACAGCGGCCCAGGCGGTGACGGAGACCAGAGTCCACACTGCCATGGCGCGAAAACGGGCAAGTTGCATTCGCATAGGAACTGTCGGAGGTCCTCGCGGAGTTCTTGGATCAGCGCGACCCCCGGTCCAAGAAAATTGCGCGAACCTGCGACAGTTTTCTCTGCATTCGAATTTAATTTCTCCGATCCCGGCTTCAGCTGGGAGGTCTACACTCCAGTCCAGGGCCCAAGGACGACCTTGCCAGGCCGGATGTTGCTGGTGGTGTGCGGTTTCCAGTTTCCTTCGTCCGCCCTTGCGCCGGGCTTCCGGTTGAGTTGTTTTTTCGCTTTATTCTGTACTGGCCCCGATGCGATTTCGCGCATTCTCTGGATTTCCGCGAAGGTAGTTGAGTTAAGTGACTTCGATGTTTCTGCAATCGTTGCATGTTTCCAGAGGGCCAGGGAGGTGCCCAAGCTAGGCGTCCGAAGACGAGGATTTTGACTAACTAGTGCTGTGGCCAATCAGGAGAGCAGCATCCTTTCCTGCAAGGTCAGACGTCTAAACGCCCAGTCAAATTGGGCGCGGGCGTTGCGGTCTCCACAGTGGCTGAGCAGTGCATTTTGCGCAGAGGCTTCGGTTGCCCCAGCGTCTTTTGTCGGACACTCGTGCAGTTTTGTTGGTCGGGTTGCGCTGCAAGGGTTGGGTCAGAGTCTTAGTTTACGATGGGTTCTGCAGCATTCGGTGCTCATGTCCCGACTTCTATTTGGGAGTGCACCAGTGCAGTTGTTTTTGGAACCCTCATATATGTTCGGCCCTCCGTTTTGGCTTCGCTGCGTCGGGCTTCTTCTTCGTCTCCTTCCTTCCCGCCTCCATCTCCTCCTCTTCCTGCCCTCTCCTGTCGGCAGGCCCCTCACACGGATCGTGTCCCTCAGAGAGCTCCGCCTATGGCCCCAGCGATTCAGTCCGCACGCCACCTCCCCGCTCATTTCGACTGACAACTCATACGTTTCGTGCCCCAAATGGAGCTTCGCGTACGACCCCAGCGACGCAGTCCGCATGCCCCCCCCATTTCGACCGACACCTCGCGCGTTGCGTGCCCCACCGGGAGCTCCGCCTACGGCCCGAGAGACGCAGTACTCCTGCCTCCCTTTCGCCAAGGTCGGCTGACCCCTCGCACGCTTGTGCCCCGCAGGGGGCTCCACATACGGCCCTGGCAACACGGTCCGCAGGCCGCCCTGTTGTTGATTGTAGTGGCCTTCGGCCAGTGCCGCCGATCCGGGTCGCTCGGGGTTATTCTCCAGACGCAGACATTATGGGCCCACACTCAAACGCACACACGCAGTCACACCACCCAACCCGCGCCGCAGACATGCACACCCACCACCACCAACACACACACACACATACCAGTTAGGAAACGCAAATGCACATACGGCGGGCACACATACAGAGACCCACTAGGCGCACGCCAGACACTAGCACGCACAGACATTTGCAGACACGCATCACACACAGATACTCGCACAGAAGACCGGGTCCGCCGAGGATTCGGGGGGCGGTCGTCATGGGCTGCTGCAGCTCCCTGAGCGCTGGGCACGACGCAGCGCTGGCGTCGGGCCCCGGGGCCAAACGGTTCTTCTACCTCGACGACCTCCCTCTCAGCATTTGCGCGTCGCCGAGTGGCGTGGCCCACCTGCAGCTGCGCCTCGTGGGCCCCTCTGGATGCTTGAGCGATGCGATGTGGCGCCTGGAGGACGCCTGCGAACATCGGGGCCTGTTGATTCAGTCAGCGCAGATGAGCCGCGAGGGTGGCCTGGTCCACTGGGTCATCGAACTGAAGGGGATTCGCGGCAAGATGGACGCCTTCCAGGTGTCGTCCCCCATGAAGATGCTGCCCTTCGCCAGCAATCCCGCGAACGGTCTGGAGCTGAAGCTCCGGCGTGCGGGCCCCGAGCCGGGCCCCGAGCCGCTCCCCGAGTGGGTGGCCGTCGGGGTCCAGGGTCTCGGCGACGCAGGCGATGGCTGCCTGGCGGCGGTCCCAGAGATCCTCTGCGCCTCCGCGACGAGCGCGTCCTACGTCGTCGGGTGCCACGCCGCGTTGCTGCAGGCAGTCGGGCGGGCGGAAGCCTCCGTGATTGCTGCCAAGCTGGAGACCAACGGCGTGTTTCTGGAGGACGAGCTCTGGGTGCAGCCAGTGCGGGCCAACGCGCAGGAGGTCGATGACCTCGCGGCGGAGATCAAGCAGTCTTATGAATGCGCGCTCTACGAACGAAATTTCCCGGCATACCTGCGGCGCGAAGACACTCCAAAAAAGTTCCTCGTCGCGAAGGATGCCAGCGGCTTGGTCGGTGCCATGAGGGAGAACGACGCCCATAAGTTGGCTTCGCAGGCGGGGACGATGCCACCAGAGCTGTACGGACTGCTGAGCGGCCTGCGGTACGAGATGAGGCCCTGCACGGAAGGGTTCAAGATCTGCGGGTTCGACAAGTTCATCGGGGCTGGCTGGATCCCCGTCGAGGCCGAGGTGCTTCCGCAAGAGCAGCGCTCCGCAGAGGCCCTGGCGGAGCTGCCTCCCGTCCTGGAGATCCGGACCCACTTCTCCAGGGCGAGCGGCGGCGCCGGCGGTGCCCGCAGGGCCCCCAGGAGCGGCATGGCCCCGCTCGACTCGCTGCAGCGGTGGGCCGCATCCGGGAAGGGGCACGCGGAGTTTGTCACCTGGCTCGACGCGCCCTCGAAGACGTGGACGATCTGGAAGGTCTTCCTGAACGGTGTGCTCCCCGAGGGGATGAAGTGCGGTGCCCAGGCGGTGGCGGAGCACCTCTCCGGTGACGCCGGGCTCTTCTTCGGCGAGACGCCGGGCGCTCGTTCCAACTTGTTCGGCGCGATCGCCGACCTGAGGTGCATCAAGGTCTGCGACGTGGTCAATTGGAACACGTACGTGCTGATGGCCATCGCCGCCTCCGCGGACCGGAGTCCGCAGATGTTTGGCAGCCACATGGCCAGCACGATCGAGCAGGAGCTCGCGGCGGCCACGCTCAGCGCGGCCGACCTGGAGAGTGGCAGCGTGACCACGGTCTTTACCAAGACAGGGCTGGGCAGGCTCGTCTGCAACGTCTTGTCGATCTGGAACGCCCAGCTCGGCTTGTCACTCTACGTGGAGGAAGCTGCCGTGTCCTTTGTGAGGGGGGCTCTCGAGCACATCTGCGGGGAGGCGCGTGAGATGATGCACGTGCGTGTCAGCATTGGCCGCGCGACGCCACATAATTCTTTTGCTAGAGCAACATCTTGTCCGTAGTCGGACTCGACTCGCACTGCACAGAGCACTCGGCGACGTCAGCCTGCAAGAGTCGCGCGGCAGAAGGCTGGCGGCCATGCACCGCGTGCACTGCCAGTTTAAATTGTTACAAAGTTTCAATTGTGGTGCAGGCCAGCCGGAGGGCCAGTGGTGCAGCAGTGACGCTCGTCGAGGGCGGTCCCCCTCCCCTCCCTCCTCCGTCCTCCGCCTCCGTCCTCCGCCTCCCCTTCTCCCCTCCCCCAATGTTTCAATTGTGTCATTCTCCTGTGTCCGCTCCTTCTCCCCCTCCAAAAGTGCGCTGAAAAAAAAAGACACTCGCACAGAAGACCCTAAAACGTTTGGTTTCTCTGAAAAAGCGCGCTGCGACGGTTTCATTGCCAGCCGCGGAAATCCAATGGTTCTATGCGTCTGCCGGCAGGCCTTGAGCGCGTCTACAGAGGGGCCGCGGAACACACCCCGCATCCGACAAAACTTGCACCCCCCCCCCCATCCCCCCTTCCCCGGCAGAGCCACCCCGGCAACCCCCCCAGAGGCTGAGGCTCAGCCTCGAGGCTGTAGCTGAGACTCCTTGAAACTCACACGCTCGGCGGATTTCGGCACGCCCCACGAACGGATCGTGCCCCACAGGGAGCTCCACCTGTGGCTCCACAGACGGCTCGCATGCCGCGCCCACTATCTCAGCACTTTCGTTCCCCACAGGGAGCTCCACACACGCCCCCAGAGGCAGGGTTTGCAAGCCACCTCCCGCCCATTGCGGTGCACCCTTCTCGTGGGTCGTGCCCCGCAATCAGCTCCACTAGTTCTGCCAGTGGACAAGTTTGCATGGCGTCCCGCCGCCCACTTCGGTACACTTCTCTCGCGGATCGTGCCCCACACGAAGCTTCCCTTACGGACTCAGTTGACGCAATCGCGTGGGGGGCTCCAGCCAATTCGGCACCCACCTCACGCGCATTGGGCCCCGCAGGGACTTCAGCGCACCGCGCGCCTCTGTGCATTTGCTCCGGAGCCCCTCGTCCGAGGAGCAGGAGGAGGAGAAGAAGGAGCAGGAGGAGGAAAGGGAGGAGGAGGAGGAAGATGAGGAGAAGAAGGGGAGAGGAGAGGAGGAGGAGGAGGAAGAGGAGGAGGAGGAGGAGGAGGAGGAGGAGGAGGAGGACGAGGAGGAGGAGTCCTCCCCCGCCGGGTACTCGCGACGTTGAAATCGACCGTGCGGAGCCTTGGACGTTTCCCCTCGCCATGCGGTCGACGGCCCCTAGAGAACATACATTTACGGGGTGCTGGATGCCCTGGTCAAGCGTGTCGCGGTTTGCGGGGCCCTGGCCCAGAAGGAGGCAGGGGAGGCGGAGAGGGGGGGAGGGGGAAGTGAATGGGGAGCTTTCTTGATGTCGTGATCCATGAGTGGGCGATCTTTGCCGTAAAAGGCTGCCTGCCCAGGCCCGCTGGTTAAATAGCCAGTGCCCCGCCGCTCCTCGAGCGCGCTCCAGGGGCGACTGGCGCGCATCGAGGCCCAGCCCCGACGCGGGAAAACGGGAAACCGATGCTCCCGCCGCTCCGCCCAGGTTCCCGTCAGGGGACCCAGGCTGAAACCTGGCTTACCTCGGTCCACGCTGGAACGCTGCCGTCCCAGCAGGCGCAGCCGCAACGGTTTTCTTCTTGTTGAAGGCTCGTGCGGCAGCCGAGTGCCCAGCAAACGAACCTTTCCCAAGGCCTGGAGATTCTGCACCCCTGCGCTGCCGAACTGGTGCCGACAGGGTCCTCGTAGGGCGCGGAGCTGGGAAGTGGCGACCGCGCCACACCTCGCGCAGTAGCAGAGGCGGCACGGCTCGCGGAAGAACCAAGGCGTGAGACGTGAAACGTCCATGCTCGACAGGCTCACAGCACATCGCTGCGCCTGGCCACGCGGGCTGCGAGCGCCCTGGCCCGCGGCACGTCGATCCGAGCCATGCGAGGGTGCGATGGCGGGGCGGCATCCCGCACGCGGCGCCGCAGCAGTCGCACTCCATCCTGGTCGCACCGACGTGCACGCAATGGGCGGAGGCCGCCTGCGCGCGGCCGAAGCGGACCGACCAGGCTCGAGTCGAGCGGCGGCGCTGCACGTCAGGCGGGGCCCGCCGCGGGCCCCAGTGAGCAGCATCCAGCGTGATGACGGCGCCCAGCCGCCTCGGCACGAGGGCGGCCCGGGCCTCAAGCTCCAAGAACGGCCGCACGACGTGGTCGGGGAGCTGCGCCCGCGCTGCCCCGCCTCACCGGCGAGGGCGTCCCCGCGCGCGTTGCCGAGGAGGAGGAGCCAGGCCTCAGCGCCCTCCTGGCGGACCGTCTGGCGGTCACGGAGGCTCTCGACCTTCGACGCCTGCACCTCGCGCCCGGGCCTGGCGAGCTCAGCGTCCACAGGTCCACACTGGGCTGGGCCCGCAGGGCGCGTCGCGCTCCGCGGGCCAGTGCGCGCTCCCCGCCGCCCGGCGCGCCAGAAGCCCCGCCGCGCGCACGAGCTGTCCGTGGCGAAGATGGCCAGCCGCGCAGCCTGGCTGCCCCCTGGGAAGAGCGAGGAAGGCGCACAGCTCGCCGCGCTTGCTCGTTGGTCGGGCCTGTAGTCAAAAAATAGTCAGGGGACGATTTTTGAGTTTTTTTGGTTATTACGAAGGCCTGACGGCCGGTGCCGCCGACCCTGAAAGACATCGACGACGACCAGGAGGGGGAGGAGGAGGAGGATGAGCAGGAGGAGGCGGAGATAAGGAGGAGGAGGAGGAGGAGGAGGAGGAGGAGGAGGAGGAAAAGGAGGAAAAGGAGGAAAAGGAAGGACTCCACCCTGGGCCCCCCCCCCCCCTAGGGAGGAGGACTGGAGGAGGACCGACGTGGGAGAGGGGAGGGGGGGATGAGGATGACCCCCAGGGACGGATGCGTATCTGACTCCCCTCCCCCCACCTGGGACTCTTCCCCACCCAGGGGGGAGGACCCGAGGAGGACCGGCGCGCCGGAGAAGGACCCGCGTGGGAGGGGAGAGGAGAGCCCCAAGAGGCGATGCGAATCTGACCCCCCCCCCGGGACCCTCCCACCCGCTGGGGAAGGGACAAAGGGAAGGGTCTTCCCTTTGACGTAATGAGGACGTGGATTGAATTCCCTCAAGCCGCGAACCCGTTCCCCGAACGAGGAAGGGTGCTCTCTCTCTCTCTCTCTCTCTCTCTCTCCCCCGACGGGAGAGGAGGATGGGAAGGAGGGGACGAAAGAAGGCTCCCCGTCGACGGGACTGGACAGACACCCCACACGCCGACAGGGTCGGCGGATTCTTAAGCATTTCAAATTCTTTTTTGATTTTCCGTGCAAAATCCGCCTTTAGGGGGACATGCCAAACCTAAGGTTGATCGTCTGCCTCGGCCCCGCCAGCGTGCCCGACACCCCAGGGGCGACGCCCACCGCGCGCTCGGGATCGGGCAGCGCGAGGTCGGCGACAGCGTCGGAAAGTGAACGGGGAGGGGTAAGGAGGCCAAGCCAGGTGCGCTCGCGTCATGTCTGACGTCCAAACCCTCCCTCCCGTCCCCTACCATGGCGTAGATGTCCCCCCCATTCGCACAGTCGGATGTCGATCAGGGCAACGATCGCGAGAGGGTGCGCGATGCATCGTAGAGCACCGCATGGCATGGCGTAGAAAAGCACGGCAGAGCACATAATTTCACAGCATGGCGTGGCATTGTGTAGTGAAGCGTTGCATCACAAAGCATTGCGGCGCAGGACACGACATCGCACAGCGGCACAGAACAGAACACCGCACAGCATGTCATGACAGGGCACCAGGTTCCTTGGAGGATAAGTGGATTGTCTTCGAAAGGTCAGGGCCAGTCTGGAGTCGCGGCTCCATATTTGGCTCCCGGGGCTCCCCGATAAGCTCCCCACAAGGCGGGGCTGATGGAGAGCACCCGCTGGCTCTGCTCGCAACACCGCCTCCTGAAAGCAGAAACGGGGCTTCCTCCAAACGACACCGCACCGAAGTGGGGCCTCCTCGAATCGACACCGGATGTGCAAACACTTAGGATGCTTTGTTCTGGATGCCATTTCTTGGATTTGGGGCTTGTTTGGAAGGACCCAAAACGCCCGCGTTGCAGCGGGAGCACGTTTTGGAACAACCAGAGGCGCAGAAATGGGGCCAGCGCCGCAGCGGGAGCAACACATTGGAAGACTGAAGAGAATCGGATTGTCAAACACACATATGACAACCGGGGAATGAAGCCAGCGCTGCAGCGGGAGCACGATTCGGAACGAGCGGAAGCGCTGAAATTAGGCCAGCGCTGCAGCGGGACCACGGTTCGGAACAAGCGGGGGGCCGAACATGAGGCCAGCGTTTCAGCGGGAGCAACATTTTGAAAAAAGCCTAAGCCAAAACCCCATTCCCGGGAATCCTGTTTGTGAGAAACAAGACGCGAAGGGGGGGTGGACATCTTCCGGACGTCATCAGGGGAGAGAGGGGAGTAGTTTTTTGTATAGGAGAAGGAAGACGCACGGGGAAGAGAAGGAGGAGGAGGAGCATTAGGAAGAGGAGGGGATCGTTGCGGATTGGGAGGAGTTGGGGGAGTTGAGGAGGCGGACGGGCGACTCAGGCACCACGACCAACCTTCCCCCGCCGACCTCCTGGCGACAGCGCCATCGACGCTGAGACAGCGACTACATCCGACGTGTGGCGCATGATTACCATGATTGCACCATGTGTCGCGATTGCAGTAGATCCCCGATGGAAGAGCGCACCCCGTCACCTGGTACCAGGTACTGGTAATTCTGGAGAGCCGCCGCAAAGGCAGCCGACCACCCGCCCACATGGTTGACCCAGCGGGCTCTCCGCTGGCACCCCCGTCGCACAGATGCCAGCGCAATCGTTGGGGCGATTGCCTCTGGGCCTTCCTCTCCCGCCGCCCGCCACGCCACCTCACACGCCCCCCCCCCCGTTGCGCAAGCCCCTCGGCAGTACGGCGAACACAACGACATCAGTTGGCTCAGCTCGATCCCGCTGGTCTCGTGTACACCCCTCGAGCCAGATGCCGTGGTGCAGGCGTCAGCGGCAAATTCGAGGCAAGGCCGGAGAGAGCAAGTCGCAGGGAATTCGTTACGAAACAAGGCCTGAGCCCACACTCATGGTTTCACATTCTCGTCACTTTCCCATGGGCCACGGCCCGATCCGTCCCGCCTTGTGAGGTGCTGCCCTGCCCGCCGAAGGGCTGGAGGGGCGCGCGCTCGCTCGTTTGCTCGCCCTCCTCCGCCCACTTCCCTCCGCCCCTCTGCGCGAGCGGCCGAGGAGTTCTGAGCATGTTGAACGTGGGCGGCCCTCTGAAAATCGGATTGGCCTCCCCAGAGGGCTTCT